TTACTCTTCTTTCGGGTTATAAACCCCTTTGAGAATCGGTAAAAGTTACAGAATCTAGAAAAAATGCACACACACACACACACACACAGAAGTTGCGTATCTGTGAGGGAGTTCCATGAAATCCCTGAGCATGTCTCTGCACACAGGCTATACTTTGTCTGATTGATGAATTCATCTTACATTTTTATAACCTTTCTAGGCCGCCTGCATTTTATTGGTACATTTGGGTAAGGGAGCCAAGATTCCTTTAAAAATCCACAAAAAGATGAGAAGCCTTGAAATGGAGAGGTAACAGACAAAACTAAAAACCCAACAGCCCCGAAGAGTCAATTCCTCTAGGAATTTCTTTCCCAGGTGTTGCTATTTCCTCCTACACTAGTGAGATTCTAGTCCTTCCTCTCCTTTTGCTGCTTTCACCTGCCCTTCTACCTCTCCTCTCAGGGACCCTAACATGGACACGTTCTTACCCGTTTCGTTCTGATCGAGTGTGACATCTTTGTAAGTGCATGCTCGTTTAATTTGTGAAACCGGGTGCCTTTCTTCCTGTGTATATAATTTTGTGTCGTAGAGTATCTTCCCCGTTCTTTTGAAAAGGCTTCTTCAAGAAAGATAAGTTTTGAACTGGGGAAATATTCTTTCTCAGATTAGCCAGCGAGTTGACTCATTTTAAATGAGAGATTGAACGTGTTTTCTTCACTACCCGCTTACTCTTTCCACCGCAATGAGCCAGGTTATCAACCAGTTTCACACCTCCCTCCCCTTTAGCACCTTAGCCTTAACTCCACATTCCAAAAAGAGTAGCTTCTGTAAGATCCCACTGGGCTTTTACCTGTGGGAAGACTGGTGGTTGTCTCCCTGGCAAATGGTTTCTCTTCAAGTGCAGTTCTCCAGGTTTCCACTAGTTGGGGCTCTATACAAAGGAAAGAAAACGGAGGGGCCGCTTCAGAATTATTTACTAACAAAACAGCATTTGACATGGTATCCCTAAAACGATTTCCTCAGTCTCTGAAAGAAGCTCGCTAATTTTTATTCCAATATACCAGTCATGAGGTTGTATTGTTGGATCAGTTGTGTTTGCTTCGCTTACCTTTGTTAGAGTCTAAACCCAGTTGACTGTTTTGGTATGATTTGCAGGGATCCAGTTCACCCAATGCATTGTTATTATAAAATATGAAAATAAAAAATGCACAAATGGAACATTCAGTACATAAGTAGTAAGACCATCTTCTTTGCCAGTTTTTTCTAGGACAGGGAGGTCTCTAGTCATCTTTTAAAGCCCGTGGCAAAGTCCTGCACAGATTGGACCCTTAATGAATGTAGTTTGGTTTCTGCCTCTAACTAAGGACCTGAGTTTGGACAAGATTATCCAGTACCAGTTCTCAGGAAAAACCACTGGGAAACCGTCTTGGTCCATGCTAACGCTTGGCTGTCTCTCTTGGCTTTACTTACTTTGCGACAGTTTGAAAGATTACCTTGGGTAGTCACATATAATCAAGGTCTCCCAGTGCTTTGCTTACACTTGCGTTTTGTTTTAGGTTTGTTTATCCTGTCTCTCTCCACCTCCCCGGAGATCCTTTGGCAAATCTGATAAACAATGCCTTTTTCTTGCTCAAGGCAGAAAGTCCAATCGAATACAATGGGAGGCCAGACTTGGCTGAAACGCAGGCTGCAGGTGTTCTCCGCATTGTGGTCATCTAAACCAGATGCTGGGAGTCCGAGCACCTGCTTCCCCTCTCTGCCTACACTCTGGAGACTACCACTCCTGGGTAAGCGAGGCCAGAGAACCAGGCTGAAGAGGATAATGTACCCAGTGCAGCATCCTTCTGACAGATAAAATGAGTTGCCCTAGAAACAGTTTCACAGAGTTTCCCTTGAAGTTCTCCAATACATACAGTTTGATTTGTGCTCTCCCTCCCTTTCTTAATCTGACACCACCACCCTCTCAACACACGTGCCCTGGACAATATAGTCTACTAGACGCAGATACTCGGGGGGGCAATTTTATTTTTCTCTGGATTACATTATCTGGAAAGACAAGACCGGCCATGGACAAGAGGGTGATGATTTTTATGGTTCTGATAAGAATGATACAGATGTTAAAAGCCTTGCACAGCCTCGGATTTTATGAACACGTCCACGGGTGCCATAAATCTCTGAACAATCCGGAAAGAACATTAAATCTTCTATCTTGAATGTTGAACATTAAATAAGAGATCAGGGAGAAACTGGTCCCTGTTGGAGGGTGACTCTGCTATCAACACTGACTACCAGACAGGTTGGTTCTGGTATTTTTACTAAGCTGATTCTAAGTTCTATGATTTCAGTTCTAAATATTAGTAATAAACTGACTGCATACGTATTCAAACCCTTAACAGCAAACCTGAATGAATTAAGTTCTGTCCTGCTGTTAATATTTTTATCTCCGATTTCCATGTTCCTTTTCCTCACAAACGTCTTTCTGGACAGAGCTAATATTTTGCATTCATAGAGGGGGATATATTTTCTCTGTGTACCCCTGCACCGTGTTCCTAACACTCAATGGAGAAAGCTTTTGTCTTTGAGGATTGAGGTCCTGACCTCACTCCACTCTGGAGGCTTCCATGCAACCCCCCTCCCCCAGTGAGGGGGCTGGGGCCATGGCCTGGAGGAGAGGCATGTACTGGGCCTGTGGCCTTCTCAACACCACCAGGAGAACCTGGTCTCTTGTCAGTGAGCTTCCACTGATGCCACAGCTTGAGGAAGCCCTTTAGAATTGTTCCCTGTAGCTCTGTAATACATGGATATATTTTTGTTCCTTCCCCTCGGACCAAGTCTACCCTGGAAAGAATACTTTGAGATGAAGGATCTGGGGTGGGTCCATGGGCAAGAGAGGGGGCAAGAGATGGGGTGAGGTGGGTGGGAGAGGAGGGACAAATCAGAACTAGTGGAGTGGACGTGATATGAAAGATATGTGATATTTGCTGAAAATTCCTTGAAATAAACCAAAGGTTCACAACATATTTCCCCAGAAAGGGCCGACTTCCACTCCTACCCACATTCTTCTCAGCCAAAGCCTCATTAGAAGAGGCACCCAGACTGGACACAATTAGAAGAGAGGGGGGGGGGCTCTAGTAGGTGAGAAACTGTGGACACTCCGATCTGCAGATGGGTTGTACCCAGAGCTTGGAATCCACTTGGGGCTGACGAATGGATGGGGCGCAGGGGGCTGCTTAGGTGGAGATGAATATGGAAATGGAGATTACAACCGAAGATAAACAATGCATCTTTCATTTAATAGGATTGGAACTGTTTTCACTTATCTGCGTGACTCTTTTGTGCCTCTTAATTTGTCCTTGAAGTTCTGTATCTAATCATTAGCTGAGCAACCAATAATTCTCCCTCAGTCCCCCACCCCTTTTTACAACCAACTTTAATCTTTCGACTCAGTGAAAAACATGTTTCCCCTATCATAACTGGTTTAACAAAAATTCTCTTTCAAGTTTAGATTGCTCAGATACAATGCCTTCCTGCAGCTTCATGCTAGAGAAAGGAATTTACATTAGAAAAGAGAGATTTATGATAGCATTGAATTTCCATTTGAATATGGAGAGTTAATAACATGCATATGTTTTTTTATTATTATTATTTTAAGGCTTCAACGACGCCATAGGCAAGGGGAAAGCTGGAAACTGCGGGGCTGGCAGGGCTCAATGAATAATTTAATCTGGATTTCATTCACAAACGGCAGCGCACTCCTAGGGAAAGGACCGGGGCGCTTCCCCAGATCGGAACTGGAGTAAGTGCCAGGATTTCCTGATTTGTTTACATTTCGCAAAAAACTGTTTTCCCCCGGACTAGGACAGAATTAGACTTCCTTTTCCACTTTTGGCTCCTTCCAGGCTATTCTTGTTCAAGGTATTCTGTCCCCTTTCCCTGCATTCTTCTTCGTCCCGGTCTCAGCTGGGTTCTTTGGTCTCACAGAAACCCGTGAGGGGCAGCGAGCGAGGCTGGCAGGAGGAGAATGGACCCGGGGACAACAATGGGCCCGCGGTCGCCAGCTTTTCCCGGACACGGCGCAGTTTCCAGGCCTCGGTCCTGTCTCCCCACCGAGCCCGCCAACGGGCCTGGGCGGGGAGGGCTGGGGGCTGGGTCACGGGGGCCGCGGCGTGATGCGTGTCCGGTGACCTTGCGGGATTCGGGAGGCTCGAAAGGGAGATCCGAATTCACTTCCCTTCGTACACACTCCGCTGCTGAGACCGGCCGGGGGTCGTGCGGGGAACACGAGTCCAGCCGGATCTAAGCGTGGGGCGCCAGGGTTGCCTTTTAGGGGCCAAGTTCCCGGGCCCGGGGCTGTCGGGGCTTCTAGTTCACCCCGTTATCCTTTCTGCTTGGGGTGGTTTCACTTTCACCATCTTGACCATCTCCAGCTGTTACACAAGCTTGTTTTGAACATTTACTCTACGTTCATCTGTTTATAAATGTTTGGCAGTCCGGGGATTAGTTCCTTTTCCTAACAAGGGAACTGTAGGCCGTGGTTCATGGCCGATGTGCACGTATCAAAGGCAACCAGGTCTTGTTGGGGGCCCACAAATAAGAATAGGTCAGAGAGGGGCGCCTGGGTGGCTCAGCTAGTTGGGCGACTGCCTTCGGCTCGGGTCATGATCCTGGAGTCCCGGGATCGAGTCCCATATTGGGCTCCTTGCTCCGCAGGGAGTCTGCTTCTCCCTCTGACCCTCCCCCCTCTCATGTGCTCTCTCTCTCTCATTCTCTCTCTCAAATAAATAAATAAAATCTTTAAAAAAAGAAAAAAAAAAAGAATAGGTCAGAGAAACGCAGAAGCTGCGGGAGGGAGAGGGGACAGGTTCACTGAAAGAGAGGTGTAACTCTCTTGTTTATTTGCGTTTCTGTTTCTTTTTTCCTTCTCTCTTGTTTCTGAGGCTGAAGGGCTCTTTGGGTTTCACTAGTTAAGGTCGTGTCTGTTTTGAATCAGCTCCGCCTCTCTGGCCCTAGGGATCATTGTGAAAACCGTCTTGGAGCAAAGGGATCATTGTGAAAACCGTCTTGGAGCAAAGGGATCATTGTGAAAACCGTCTTGGAGCAAAGGGATCATTGTGAAAACCGTCTTGGAGCAAAGGGATCATTGTGAAAACCGTCTTGGAGCCACCCTACCCTCCCGCCTTGGGTACCTTTCTTCCGCATCTTGGGTTCCCTGGGGCAGCCGGTGCCATCTGTCCTTTTCTGCTTTCCTAGAAATCAGACCGAGTTCCCAGTAGAGAAGCAGAAAACTTTGTTTGTACTGGAGCATGGCTCTAAACATTAACTAGCACCATCCCAGTGGCTATTTGCATCATAACGGAAGACACATAAAGTAAAGGAATGAGTCTCTAATTGTGGAATTTATGATATCAGTGGAGGTCCACTTGGAGCTCTTCCAAGTGTTCCTGTAATCACATCATACTGAGGGTGGATTGTGTTTAAAGCAGGGGTCGAGTCAGGCACACGTGTTTATTTATATCCTCATGTATACGTATGTAGATGTACATACAAAGAGACACAGCTGATCATGAAGATCCTGCTGGTGCTGCCGCGCAGACGGACGGATGACCATATACTAAAATAGGGACGCTGTGAGCAAGACAATATTTAGCTATTGCGAAATGTCACTTCATAGCATTGTCTACTCAGTCAAGTACCTGTGGGGACGCTGACCTTTTAGAAGGCCAAAATGGACTCCCTTCTGTGACCTCCTGCACAGGTAGGCAGAACAAATGGCTGTTGTCACTATAATCTAAACACACATTCAGATGCACCCAGCGGACTAATGTGCAAAAGGAGCGTTTAAACGGACACTAGCGTAGCTGGGGACATCAAAAGAATAACATTTTTCTTTTTTCTCCTGCTGGTTTCAGAGACAGTACTGTGGGTGATTTCCTTCAACTCCTGCTTTGGATTCTCTTCCACAACAAGCACCTAGGAAATGATCAGCTGACAAGTGTAAGTGAAGCACATACTCCAAAAATCACATCATGTCCTCATCAGGGTCTAGAGAAAGATAGAAAATGAGTAATGACCTGAGGGCCAATATGACATGTATCTTCTAAGGGGAAAACCCCCCACGATGAACATGTGTGAGGGGAAGAAAAGAAGCCAGATTTACAACAATGTTAATAGAAAACCTAAAGATCTCTGAAATCAGGTGAACGAGTATGCAAACTACAAGGTAGAATATAATACACTGTATTTATTTTTTACTCTCTCAACTGCTTTACTGAGGTATGACTGACGTATAAAAAGCTGTACATAGTTGATGTCCGGAACTCCACGAGTGTGGGGGAGAACGTGGTACATACAGCTGGTGCTGTGTCTACGGGGATTGCAGAGATCAGCATTTTCCATTATGCTTCATACAAGGTCAAATGTTCTTAATTCCAGGTCTTCATTTCGAGAGAAGATCAGATGCAGCCAGCTTACCTGAGAGAGCTTTCCCTATCTCTATGAATACAGCAAATATTCGGGAGGACCCTCAGATTTCTCTACTGTTAGTAAGCAAGACCCACTGGCTCCTCTGAAGGGCTCCTTGGACCCTCAGGAGTCCAGCTTGAATACTCTGCAGGCTAACCCAGTGATTCTTTTGGGCTCGTCTCCAATGCTAAGCTAGGCTCCTGCACAGAGGAAACACGCATTGGTTCAAAGACAGTCCCAGCGTGGTGGGCACTGGAGGCACTGAAAATGGGATGGTTTCCATGTAGCAAGTACACGTGCTGGTTTTGCCTTATGATTGTCGGAAGGCTGAGCAGTCTATTGTGCCAGGCACTCGAGAGTCGTCGAAGTCCTGGTGGTCCCTATCACCTCCCTAGCCGGGAAGATTCCTCCTCTCGCTCAAGTAGTACCCTGGCCTCTTTCTTTGTGAGCTGGCAATGAGGGGCTGCAAAGGTACACATTTTCTAGGTCCTGATTTCTATCTTCCTATACACCAGATTCTTAATTCAATAGCTACAAAACTGCTGTATGTTCAGTCAGATGTGCAAATACAGTGGTCTCCAATCCTGGAAACACTTTCTTTTAATAATTGCCACACTTACATGACTTCAGATATGTACATGGTGGGCGACTGGTTGAGAGCAGATTCCGGGTCTATATAAATAACTTCATTTTTTTTTTAAAGAGTCATTGTGTATTTGGTACCTGTCATGTCTCCACGATGGCTTATGTGTCTTCACGGAACGATCAGCTGGGTTCTCCCTGGTCTTTAGCCTTTCATTTTAGATTCCTGAAGATGCCTTCGAAGGCGTCACTGCCCGAAGCCATGGTTTCTGGGTAGTTTTAGCCACTGAGAGATCAGCAGAGTTGTGGGTACGTGGGCAGCAGTCAGCTTGGGGTGAGGTGAGGGCTGCACAAAATAAGTCAGCAGATCTGAAAAACCGTGGGGATGACCAGCATGGAGACTTGGCCTTCCTCATAAATCCCCTATTCCCCTCTTGGCAGGTAGGTAAAGGCTCTGTTTCAGAGGAGGCAAAGCTGGGACATGTGGGGAGGGTGTGATCACTCAAGGCTACTTTGGGATCCATTGGCAAAACAAGATGAAAGCACCCAGTTTCTGACTGTGGGACCAGATGGGCCTGGGTACTTTTTGAGCCAATGGCACGGTCATCTCCCTTATTTCCTTTGCTCCACCCCACCTAGCTCTGATACCTCTTCCTATACCACTTACACTTGACACATTTAGCCCCGCCGGAGAGAAAGGGAGATTGGCTGGGACAAAGTCCACACCCACCACGCCCACCCCCCTTGGGCCATCTTGTTATCTCTTCTTGGAGTGTGATTTAGTACCACGTGACACTAAGATACAATAACCTGAACCCTCTATTACTTTAGGAACGACAACTGAGCAAAAAAAAAAAAAAATGCTTGTTGGAATAGCCCTGCTGATTATAGCTAGCAGGTGTTATCTTGGAAGAGGATGGAAAATAACACAGAGCCAAGAGTTGTTTTGGATGGCTAGAGTGAATTCAAAAATAGATGAAGATTTGCCCACACGTTAAGAAAATCCTCAAAGACATGACAACTGTCAAGGTTGCACTTCTTAGCAGTTATCACCTACTTTTTGTTTTTTGCTTCATCAGCTATATAAGCCTGCAAGTTTCAGTATGAGGATTTCCTGCTACACTTTTAGTTTTCAGTTACAGATTGACTAGGCCTGCCAGTAGGTCTGGCTTGCTGATGTTTGCTGGTAGATTATCCTTGTAAAAGTTACTATTGTCAGGGTTCATTTTTTTTTTTTTTAAAGATAATGAGGAATGGCAATTCAAATAAATTCCATGGCCTCATTGCTAGTGATGGTCCAACAACTATGAACAAAACAGAAAGATGGCCTCATTTTAAATAAACCTACTTTTTAAAAATACAATAGCAAACTAAACAAACACACGAGAAAACAGCCCACGGTGGAGTTTACCAACCTGAAAGAGTTCAGGTTTTGCCCAAGTCAGGGACCAACCTCTCGTACAGGGATTCATTTTTCCTTTTCTCAATATTGAATGGAACTCCCTTTTTAAAGGCTGATGATTTATTGTCTAAAACTGGAACTGGGACAAATTCAAGGCAGGATGAAAGGAAGTCTCCAAAACAATAGCATTGAAATTCTCCCAGGGCTTTTTCAATTGTGAGAATGTAGGGCTCTGGTGTTGCTACACTGTGTCGAGCACAGGACTCCACAGAGTGGCGGCATGCCTAAGTGGTGGAGTTTTGTTTTGTTTTGTTTTGTTTTTGAGAAAGAGAGAGCATGAGCGAGCACACAGAGGAAGAGGGAGAGGGAGAAGCCGACTCCCCGCCAAGCAGGGAGCCGGACGACATGGGGCTCGATCCCAGAACTCTGGGATCATGTCCTGAGACGAAGACAGACGCTCAACTTACTGAGCCACCCGGGCACCCCCATGCTTCTCCATCTTTAATTTTTTATGGCGAACTCAGGATTTGAACCCGGGCAGGCTCACGCCATTGCCATATTTCACTTAGCAATCTTGCCTCCTAAGAAAAGTAAATTGCCTAGATTAAAGGATGTTAGGTATAGAGGGCCTAGGAGGAATTGACTTTTGTCCAAAGAAGCCCAGCACGTTTAGTTTTTGAGATGAGTCCCGATATTCTGCCACTGAATAATGAGGCTGGATAGGTTGGGTCCTGCTATGTTTTACTACGCAGCTGATCTTCCCAATTCTATTTAATTCTATTCCCAGACTGCCTATTCTTGAAAATGACTAAAGTAGCTAATGTGCCTTTATATATTTTTATTCCAGGCTTCTGCAGAGCTCCAGTCTCATTTCAACCACTTCCTAAACATCACTACTGAATCCAGGCCTTCCTGTACCTCCAGTATTTTCACAGAAACTTCCAGCCCCACCCTAAACTTGCTCTTCATTTGGACTTCTCTAGCTCTGTAACTGTGTCACTTAGTCACCCAGACTCTGAAGCTCAGGGTAAGATTTATTTCCCTCTTTCCTGTACCGTCCCTACCTCCATCCCCTCCCCAAGCACACCATCAGTTAGTCATCAAGCTGTATCTGTCCCCACCCAGCTCTACTGCGAGGAACCAAATTGCTAAAACCAGATTTTGGAATAAATTTCCAACTAGTTTGCCCACATTCAGGCTCTCTGTCCTCGATACCACTATCCGACTAAAGTTGTGACTCAATGCCTTCAAGAGTTTTCTGTGCTCTCTGATGTGCCAGGCGCTGTTCTAAGCTGGAGATACATCACCTCTCTGCCTTGCTCTTGCTGTCGCTTCTGCTTGGAGTCTTCACTCTCCCTCTTGCCAATATTTCTGGTTTCAGGACGACTGAGTTCTCTGCCTCTCCCAGTGGATGAGGTCATGGTATATACACATCCTTTCCCCCCTGACCTGAGGTTGGAAAGATTTAAAGAGCTCTAGCCTGACACCTGACTGTGGTAGAAAGTGTCTTTGCACTGATTTAGCCTGTTCACCCTCCTCAGTTTCTGCTTTGATTCTAATGCCTACCTTAGACCTTAGTCTTGGTATTTGAACTTATGCCACTTGTTCGTTTCTGAGTTCCTCATGGTGACCTCCTACTTCCTACATCTTACACAGGGTCGCCTTAATACAAGCCTGCCCGTACACTCCATTGCTGTGAGACCCAACTTTCCAAAAGACTCTGCAGTTTCTGATACTCCACCTGCCTCTTTGGAAACTAGAATATTGTGGTTCATTGGTTCAACAATCAATAAATGGTTTTGAAACCCCTCTACGTGCCAGAGGCCAGTCACAAAACACATAGTAGGAATGACAACTTCTTGTCTTCATGATGCTCACTCTCTCACTGGGGCAAGAGATTCCCTAAGGAAGATAATTTTGGAAAGTGAGAAAGACCAGGAGCAAATAAAATGGGCTGCTGAGATGGAGGAAGGGGAGGGCAGAGGCTCGCTTAGATAAGATGCTAAAGGAAAGCATCTCAGGTAGGACTTGTATGATGAGAATGAGTTGGCCAGCTGTAAAATGGGTCACTGTTCCAAGCAGAGGGAACCGCAGATGAATGATTCTACTGGCTCCACCAGTCTGCCATGTTCTAGAAACAGAAGAGAGGCCAACAGACGAGCAAAGGAGGGGAGAGTGGTAAGAAAGGTGGCCACGGGGGCCCGGGCATGGAGGCCTTGTTGCTGTGCTCCTGAGAGGTAGTTTTGTTGGATTCTCCCCAGTTGTTGGTTGCCTGGCCCTCCAGATCTTCTGCAGTGTTCATCAGACTGACCTTCCCCTTGATCCCTTCCAGTCTGATCTGTCCTGCCCCCGGAACCCCTACACACACCTACTTTGGTGGCAGGATATGGTTACAGACTTTTGGATTCCACTCATTGCCCACCTCATGGTCATTACATGGGCAATGCTCAGTCAGCACATCCGAGATGAGATGATGTCCATCTAAGTTCTACCTGTCTTCCAATGCCCAATTCCAGTACCAGTTTCTTCAGGATGTTTTCCTAAATGATCCCAGCTAGAGAAAGACCCTTTCCCAGTAGCCTGCCTGGGTCTGAGTCATCACATGCTAGTTTATACTCTGGTGTCACCTTCCCTTCTAGATTATCTGTCTTTGATAGTAGGGACTCTGGTACAATTTTGTTCCGTGAGGATTAAACAGCATAGCGTCTGCTCTGAGTAGTCATATGACAATAACTGTGTTTTGGAGAATGAACTCTTTGTGACGGTTTCTGACTATTGTCATGGGGATTAAGAATATCTGTAAAGCATCCAGAGCATAGTAGGCTCTAAATAAATCAGAAGAGTATGATCATTTTCATAGTCGTGTGACTTTAAGCATGTCTCTTTATGTTGAAATGATGCCGCTGGAAAAAATGATTTCTAAAATGTTCTCTGGCTCTGAAACTTGAGCATGACTTGGATGAACATCCTGAAGAAGCTCAGGAAAAGACAGTCATTGGTGTTGGGTAGCATTTCCCCTTCAAGTGGGAAGGCTTGAAAGCATTGCAGATTCTTTTATCGCCCCGGTGCTAATTCACAACAGGTTATTTTCAATAATAGAGCGAGGGGGTATCTGTTCTTAGTAG